TGGTCGCATTTAAGATGAAGCACTCTTTTCAACTAATTATCTCACATATATACAGGATTCAATAGCGAAGGAACAATCGCCTGCAAACGCAATTTTGCGTTCAGTTTGGTAATAATGTTTATAATCAGCCCGAGTGTGACAGCTTGTTCCACATCAGCTACAGTTTAAGCGTTACAGTTCTGTTACGTGTTGTCCATTTATACAAGCAATGAAACGACAGTAGTTGTTGTTGTCTTGATATTCGACCTCTGTTTCATTGAAAGGTAAAGGCCCTAAAACCTCTGTGAACCTCAAGGCATTCTGGACTGTTTTCTGTAAGATCCCCTAAAAATTTCGTCAACACGGAGAATCAAGTTGAATATAACCTTGATTGATTATCTCATTTTTAAACTCAGGAATCATTTCTGACATCAGATTCTTTCAGGTTCAGACAGTACACTCTCAACGCTGTGTTTCAATAGACTTGTTATGGAACAACATTTGAGCTTGCCCCGTGACGTTGTCGTCGGTTGCATGGTGATACAGGCACGTGACCCGAAACAAGTTCTGTCCTCAGTTAATTACGTTTCCACGTGACCCAAGGCTCGGAGACCATACTGGCTCAGCACTGTGTTCCAATTGGTTTGTAGTACGACAGCATTTGTGTTGGGCTCATTACTTCGTGTGGAGATGTGAGATCCGTCTCTTGTTCCGTTTCTCCCTCAGTAATATTTTGAAAAGCGCTCATCTTTTCAGTTTCCGCCGCCAGTTCAAGAGCTACTGCCTCTGACCATCTGCTCTGGGCCGCTTTAAGCGTGCTTGTCCAAGTTTCCTGTGAATGAAACCACGTTTTTTTTAACAAGCATTAGTTTTCAAAAAGAAACTAAGCTTGACGCCATCAATGGTATATCTATCCCATTTTATTAGTTAGCATCTTTTCCAAGAAAATAACGCTAGGTTTCATGGTGGTTAGTGAGCCGCAGTCAGCCTACGTTAAACGTCCACTTTCTAGTACCTTGTCGACTTCGTATATTCAATTATTCCTCTTGCAATTCTAGCTTTGCAGTTACTTTTCAAATAGAAGGGAAAGACACGCCCATAAACGTTTGCATTTGTCTCAATTAGCGGATAAGTATTTGTTTATACGTCCAATAACGCTTGCACTAAGTTGATGTTACTGTTTCGTGTTGGTAAAAAATAAATATTTAGCGCAGTGTGATTGGCTTTAAATTTCGCGCCACTTTATGAACCGATCGCTTGAAAGTACCTCTATAGCTTACACGCGTTTTCCTGCATTTTTTTCCCGCGCTAACTAGTTCAGTGGAAAGTCTCCATTCGTCCGTTCAAGTCTACTAGTGGTACCCCATTAAAATTGCTCAGTTATAACACCGCTAATGGTACGATCCAGTTCTGCTGAGGTCGTCGTTGTTTTTCGTTTTTCTTTTCTAACAGGCATGAAATGATTAAGTTATAATACGGTTTTCGTTATGTCTGATATTCAAGTTACCTTGAGGTTCTGCGATGGCGCTTGGAGGGTATACAAGCCAACCGTTTGTTTGAATCTGCTGTAATGTATTATTATGAACGAATTTTTTAACGTGCTCCCTAAAAATGTAGAAACAGAACATACCAAATGAGAACTGTTGAAAAAGTAGTGAAATGCCATTACATTGTAAAACTAGTGATAACCGAATGTTACGGAGTGCGGGCGACAACGACAGACGGGCAAACCGCTCTTGCTCCATCGCTTTACTTTGCTTAAGTTCCACGTGATAGATGGTCAAAACACGAGTGATAGAAGGTCCGAACGCCTGTGATCAGTGTGCATTTCATTAATTCTCAGTGGAAGTCCAAACGAAGCTCGCTACATACGTGCCGTGCATGCGTAATAGCAACATGGAGACTAGGATTGCGGGCTCCCCTTGTCGCCCGCAATAAAGCAGCTGATTAAGGCGTGCAAAAACATACATTTTTCGGCTGAAACCACGGAGCGATTCAGCGATGATGCGGAGATAGTTTTGGATTGCGTATATTCCCCGTCAGACTGTCAAGGATGAATAACTTTTAGTTTTCTTAATTTCTGAGATAAAATATACCTGCATGTGTGGCCTCGGCGTCGATAATTATGAATCTATCCAGAGGAATAGGCTGAAAGTGAAAAAATGTGTCCGTATTAGAAATTATGGTAAAAAAAATTATTGGATGAGATATCTTTTTAATATCTGGTATAATAAAGGTCGAGGAAAGTGTTATGAGCCGAACCGAGACACAAATCTAATAATTGTTTTATTATACATGGTTTTGAAGAAAATAAGGACAAACACAGCATCGCATGGAACGCAATTTTGACATTGCTCTTGGAAATCATGCACTGTGCGCGCAACCTACAGATAAGTCACTAATCTGCTCGCAGATAACTGGCTAATCTGTAGGTTGCGCTGATTTCCCAAATTAACTGTAGGCTCTTAGCCAATGAGAAGACAGTATAAATTACGTACAATGTATAATAACGTGTCATAATGCGCAAATAAAAACCTTATCAAACTCCGATGAATTTTTACCTGTTTATAAACTGTGTATTGCATTCCAGACATGCTTCTTCTGACCACAGGTGGGGTAGATGGAGGGCTTTCCGCTACTGCCATTCCGGTTAAATTAAGTTTCTGCACAGAAAAAGAAGAGTATGATATTTAAAAAAAATGTGTATAGGTTCGCAACCGGACCGTAGTGTAAACAAAATTACCAACCCATAAAGCTTTTTGTAAACCGACATGTGTATAGAGTGTTTTCACTTACGTGGTCAGCATGTATGCAAATTTATTGGAACAAAAGAAAGCGTTTGCACAAGAAAAGAGTTCAACTTCCACAGGATTGGTTTGGGACACCAACATGGCCGCCGTGACGTCATGTGAAAACACTCTATATTTAGGTTTCTACTAGAAACTAAACGTTAGCGAGTGCTGATGAGATCAACTGAAGGTTGAAACGCACGTGCTCCGACGCTATGGTTTACGTAGGCTTCACGTGATAAAAGGTCCAAACGCGCGTGCTCAGATTGAGTGCTATGCATTCTAATCATTCTTAGTGGAAGTCCGAGCGAATGCTGGCTACACACGTGCCGCGCATGCCTTATAACAACCTAGAGATTAGGATTGCGGGCTCCTGTGGTCGCCCGAAGTTAATTTCTTTTTCTTTTTATAGCTTAATTAAACAAAAGATGGAATAATCTTTGCTTGATGTTTACCAAAATAAAGATGTGTCAAGAACTATTATTGCTTACCTTATTGACTTTCTGTGGCAGTTTTCTAAATCTTGTGAGCAAAAGCATGTCGTCAAATAGAAACGCGTACACATCAACCTTTGCATTTTCTGAAAGATTCAAGCCATCACAGGAGAACTCAGTTTTACCACACTCTTAACAGAGTCAATCAAAACCCAGACACTTAATTATTCCGTGAAAAAGCGAAGTTATTCTCTTTCTGTGGGGAAAATTGCAACATAGCACCTTTTCTTTACGCGAATGAGAAGGAACAAACTCTTGCCAGTTCTTCTGAAGTGCAGCATTATACCAGGGGAGAGAAAGAAAATATTTTGACCCTGACGACGTTTGAACTTTCTACCTTTGCTTTGGATCTTCAACGCTCTAACCTACTGATCGCCCCCTGTCAGGGAATCCAAGCCAGTCTTGGACTCTAGGAACGTGGATTCCGGATTCCTTGAGCTTTATTCTGGATTCCAAAGCCCAGGATTCCGGATGCCACAGTCAAAAATTTCCCGGATTTCCTTACACGTGGTGATACTGAATTTAGGATCGGGAGCAGGTCGTGAGAATGAAGATTTCCCGCCGGTTACGTTGGTAGATAAGATCTTTCGGGAATAACGTCATACAATGAAAGCCCTGGTCACTTACCAATCAGCGTGAGTGGTCCCTCGTAAAGCAACTGTCTCTTAGGACTAGCTAAGAGACTTTCGCACGGCTGCTTCGATAAAATACCCCGTAAAAACTGCAAAGAAATGTACGTTTCTTAGTTGACTGATTTCATTAAGTCAGCCTGTCTACTTTGTTCAGCTAGATAAGGTTATTGCTGCTATAGACACATTACTTACCTCAGGCACATACGTCTTGGGGTCCAATTCAGTTATGGATGGCCAAACTAAGCTGCTTTGAAGTTCTTGTAATCTCTCGTAGTTTGCTCTAGACTTGACTTTTCCTTCCAACTCCTCTGTAACACAAAAGATGTCCCCTACTGTTAGCATGTAGTCATGACCGATGTATATTTTTTTTAAAAAAACCAAAGTCAGTGTTAGGCAATTTTCCGAGGCGACGTGTCGATTGTAAATGTTGTAAATCTGTAGATTTGCCCTGACAAAAAATAGTTGGCACAGAGAAAGTTGTAGCGCCCCCGTATAAAAAACTTTGTTGAGTACCCCCCATCCAGGAAGGGAGGGGGGGGCACGAGGTGATATCAAATGCAATAGTAGAAGTCTTTACTTACGTATCGATAGCTCTACGGCCTTTATTATGGAAGACAAAGAACTGTGCTGTTCATCAGCTTCTGCGGTTCTTTTTCTGATATTCTGCAAAATAGGTAAATATACGTCAAAATCACAAAACGTTGTCGGGCCCATTAACCTAGAGCGTCCATCGATTATAGTACAACGAGTTAGACTAAGAGCGTGTTCGATTTACCGTATACCGAAGTGAGAATAAACCCTAGGAAACAGTTGTTTTGCCTTTCATTGTATTGCAACTAATATTTACAAAACTGCTTGCAATAAAAAATTCCGATCTATATAAAGTTTAAATGGTCTACAAATTACGGTAGAAGAGATTTATAACAAAATTTTTGCTTATTCTTATTGCGGAATATGATCAATGTTAGCCCTAACCCCTAAATCAGACGTCTCTTCCCGCGAAATTCATTGTGTTCACAAACGTCCGCATAAACCAACATGGCGGATCATCTTCCGAATAAGGCGCATTATTCATCAGTTCGAAGCCGTTCAAGATTCTTACATTGCAAGGAGAAAAACAGTCCTCAGCAATCTTTTAATTAGCCCAGTGAACCAACAAAAGGTTCATGTGAAAGGTTTTGTTATATCGACGTTCTTTTCCATATATTTTACTATTACCGGGGTAAACAAAATCGCTCGTTAATACCGAGGACTTCGTTATATCGAGGTTCGTTACATCGAGGTTCCACTGTAGCTTTTTGCGTGCCTTTCTTCATTAATGATTTGTAATTATAATTATTAATTTTAATCAACAGCGATTTACTGATTTGCGCACTTTATCATTATTATTGTCATTATTATCATTATTATTATTATTATTATTATTATTATTACTATTATTAATGATACTGTCATCGCACGAGTTGTGCTATTGTTTATATTAGTCTTACCTTGAGGAGAAGTGGATATTTTGTCAGATGTTGTAGAGGGGCCACAAGGAGATCAGTGATTTGAAGTCTGTTACACCTACTGTCCGATTCACACCACTAGATAAACATGACAAAAATAACAACACTTAGATGAGATTATCGTATGCATAATAGAGGTCGCTTACGCAAACTTTCTGAAACCATCCGAAGAGTTTCCGATTCTTCTTAACTGACCAATCATGAATACGCACGAGCACTTTCGAAATTCACAGTCGCGTACATTTCTTGCGTGCCATTTCTATTCTCGTCTCTTTTTTTTTTCTTTTTTTTCAAATCCTTTCTGGAAATGAAATACTACCAATAATCATTGATCCATCCTCTACATATTCTTCCCTCAGAAACACCTATTGATGCCCTCTGAATTGACTTTTGAGTTGGAAATGTCCGATTGATTGACAGTCTGAATTGACTCAATTGATGCTCTTCCGTGAATCAACCTCTATTATTGCGAAACCCAGGTACCAAAAAAGACTTCGAATACTCTAGACTTGGTGGGCGTGTCTTATAGCTTTCCGGTACTTAAACTATTTCAAAAGCAGAGAGCGATTTCTGTTTCCTGGCAGAAGATCGCTAGAAAGTGGAACACTAAACTCGAATAGTCTACAGTTCCGCAATACAGGATTGTTTTCTATCATTGGCGTAAGTGGAGATAGTTGTTCAAGTGCAAGACACGATAAGAAGAATAGGCTGATATTAATCCTTCTAATCAGAGATCCAAGAAAGAAAAACACCAAATATAAGAATGTAAAAATCAAGAATTGTTACCTTTATAAACTCTTGAAAATCTTCCTCTTTTTTCAGTGAGTCCAAATAACTAAGAGCTTTGGAGTAATTTAGGCAATAACTCTGGTACTGAGGGTGAACTTTGCGGCTGAACTATGAGATAAAATATAAGAAATAAACGTTTGTATTAAAGTTAAAAAACTGAATTTATTTACTTAACCCTTGAAACATATGGTAACTACTAAGCAGAATTAGGGTCTTGTTACATTGTTTTCTTTTGTTTTCTAAAGAAATAAGCAAATGGATGGGGAGGGAATGCAATTAAGCAACAAAGTATTCAGGGATGGACGCTGAATTTGAACTGGAGTGCCAAAATAGTAAAGAAAAAGAATTGACACGGTTGTTTTGAAATAAATTCAATGTCTTCGAATTCAGTCCTGACACGGTTTTTTTTCCGACTTGTTACGGGCTTAAAACATGGTTCGAGTTCTCGAGGATAAAATTATATAAAATGATCTGAAGGGAAACAAAAATTACGTCGAGTTAGCGGGAGGTTCGATCTAGTTATCGAGGGTTCGAGCGTATACCGAGGTTAAAATTACAGTAAACGCATGAAGGAAATCCAGGGGAAGTCCATTTGGTTGAGTTAGCGCGAGGTTCGAGTTAGCGAGGGTTTGAGTTATCGGGAGTCAACTGTAGCAACTATACAGTGAAGGAACTGAACTGACCCAAAATACTTTCGAAAGAGAGAGAGAAACTACTTACTTCCGTAAAAGCTGATACAACAGATGCTGTGCTGCCAAACTGTGTGGGATGCTCACTTTGAAAAACACTTAGGAGATTCTTGGCAAATCTTGTGCTAACCTTGAAAATAATAAGTTGTACAGGTAATAAACAAAAGTTCCTTTTTCAAAATGGCGGCCTCAGCTTCACACCGTCCGCAAAAATACATAAGTAATTCTCAATAGAAGGAACTTTGTTTCTTCGTGTTGCAGGAATGTTCACATAGCCAGGGGATTGATTTATCCGACAGGTTAATTTTAAATGTAGGATGGCGTTTAAGACAGGTGTCTACAGAGCAGAAACCTCTAAAGGTAGTGGCAGTCAGTGTACGAAGCTAGGGGCTGAAAGAAGTAAAGTTAAAAACAGATTGGATCGGGATTTTAATAAATGATGTCCTGGGATTTTTTTCCGTTGTTCCTAGGCGGAAATTAAGCTGAACATGACTGAAAATGTCAGTTGAAGGATCCAAGAATCCAGTTCAGCGTTTTTAGCGATTAACCCAGTTCAAAGTGTTTGTCATTTTTCTGTTTTCAGGTTGCGAGTGAGTCTAGGTTAGTCTCGTATCGAATTGCACTGTGGGCCAGATTGGAGGACGAATTTTTGACCGATTCTCCTGTGCAACCTCGTAATAGCCAATCAGAGAGGCGGTAGTGTCCCAAAATAATCCCATAATGCATTCGACACAATACTGACCAAGGTTCACCAGCAACATAGAAGTGGCCTGTTAGTTAGAGCGAGTTTCATAATCTTGGTTACCTCACACAAGTCCTGGAGATTGCAGAAGATTTTATTGACATCCACGTGTTGCAAATGTCCCATTTGTTGAATTTCTTTCAAAGGTTCTAGGAATACCTGAGGTCAAAAGGCAGGTAGAATAATGTATTTTATTAACCACATCCGAATGGAAAACTGTTTAGTTGGAGCACCTATCTAAGATAAAAACTTGTGTCAACGAGCGAAATGAAGTAGTTATGTTTGTGAATACGCCTGGAGAATTTAAGTCTATGCTGCTCAATTGCTGACTCTTATTTCAAATGTCTATCTTTAAGCTAAAACAAAAGAGTGATTTTATTATTTGACAATTCGTTAAAGAATTATAAGCTAAAACAAAAGAGTGATTTTATTATTTGACAATTCGTTAAAGAATTAAAGAAATTCCAGAATAGAAACCTCTAGTTATCTTATCCCGATATTTTGCGGTTGCTTCTCTGTTAAATCGTCGTTAAAATCCGAATTCTCACCTCTTTAAGGACCAGCAAATGGCTCATCAGATAGACAACCTCGCTATGAAACAATTCCCATACTGCTTCGCGTCTTTTGGTCTCGTGATCTGACAACGCTGGGCCGCTATCGGACCGAGGTCTCCTCGAACTTTTTTCGACACTTTGGCCCATGAGTTGAGTCCAGTGACTATCCTGTAAAAGATCGGAATAAACATAATGTACTCTCACTCAAAGACTATGCTATAATCTAACATAGTAGCATTATATCACTGCGAGTTAATTTCCTTCTTCTGCTATCGTTTCGGCAAGGAACATCATGAGTGGTTGAAAGACTGAATCTTTTCACGGTTTTAGCCAGGTTCTTCTTTAAATATTAAGGTGTCCGACGTAATTATATTTCCGTTTTGGTCAAACCGATTAAAGTCTCTAATACTGAAATCAGCGACAGAATTACGTGAGTGTAACTATCTAGGAAGAGGTAAAGGCAGGGGAAAATCAAGTCGTGATCATGTTGTTACATGAGCGGTCTTTCAACATCGATATTGTTATCAATTTCACCTTAGATATCATCAATCAATCACACTTCCCAATGATATCTTATCATCGCTTTCATCTGTTTTACATGATAGTAAACAAATTATTTTTGACCTGCGTGTAATGTTAACTGGTCAAGATCCAGTTGTAAATTCGTGTACAGCTCATGTAACAATTTCCTCCTTTGTTAACCTTTCTTGTGTTTTCTGGAAAGGGCCAAGTTTCTGCCAAATTTCAAGGTCTGTGTCATTTACACGTAATACAGAAAGCAATATTTATCGATGAAGTAAAAGTAGTTTAAATAGCTTTTTAAATTGGCGCTAAAAATAGACGTTGTTCTCTTTTGTTTTATTCACCCCCCGTGTTCTATATTGAAAACTCTTGTTTTAATTCATTAGTCTTCGATCCCACGAAACCACTTTAGCTGTACTTGTGTATGTATTCCTAGATCTCCCTAACTTTCGAGTCTGTGCACGAAATCCTTTGGTATGACCATTCAAATGAAAACTCTTCAGCCGTACTTCCACATGATGCTACGGTATGCAGTTCTAACTTCTGAGTCGGTGGATGAAAGCCCGTTGTGTGAAAATTCAAATGAAACCTATTCGGGCAGAACTTTTGAATAATACTATTAAATATTTCTTAGGATTTTAAATGGTGCTATTTTGCTTATATGTATTTCTAAGCTTAAAAGAAATCCCATTTTGCGACCTGAAACCTCTTCAGCAACACTTTCGGTACTTTTCAGTGGTATTACTTGCACGTACAAATGACTTCCTCCTGACAATTTAATCATTATGGACACTCGATGCCTCAAGGGGTTGAGAAGGTTATCGAACCTTTCACGGGAAGTTGCCGGAGTTGCTTACCTTAAACTTAGACAACTCGTGCTCGGAATTTGTTCTTGGATTCTCTTTCATTCGGGCCAAGCTTTCCTTAAAATCTTCACCCTGCCTTGGTTTGTCCTTTAATGTCGATAACTTAGAACAGAAAAAAGAAATTCAGTTTGCAAAATAGTGGAATTAAGTACAATGTAAATCTGATTAGGTCACGACAGAGATGAAATCGTTCCATACCATCTTTTTATTTCTCCTCAGTATAGACCAACGCGATCTTTTCTCGGGGTCTGTAAAATAAAAGAAAATATATATGCAGATCAAGAAAACCGCCAGTTAAATATTGCTTAGAAGAAACGACCCTTTTATTAACGTTAGATTTTGAAATATACAGCTCATAGTACCCCAAGCTACCGGGGCATGTTTAGTACCCGTTTCCTTGACACAGCTTCTTACCTATGCTGTTGAGTGAGGTAGAAGAGCCAGACAGCTCTTTCTTTTCGCGGATAACGCTTAAAGTTTTTGCCTCTATTGAAAAATACAAAGAAAAAAAAGCAAAATTAAATTAAATCAATTATCCTTGGCTAGTGTATTAAATAAAAAAAAAACAGTAAAGAAAGTAGATTACTTCAGCTACTCACTCAGCGTATCACGTATGAACAATATGATGTAGTTAAGGTTTGTTGTGCGGTAGATGTCGACCATTGCAAACTTTTCGCTACGATTAAATGTTCTTCCGACCGCCGAATGTTTTTGAGCCTCCGTGATGTATACAAACTATTCAGAGCGGATATCCGGCGAAGGAACCTTAATCGATTGGCCCTCGAGATCTCACGGAATCCGACAGTATCACGTACCTCTATTTTTCAGTTTCAAATCATTAAAAATCCTAGCTATTTTTTCGGCAAAAGGCGGAACCAAGTAAATATGCGGCATATTCTGCTTGAGTTGTGTGTGTAAAGATATTTTATACATTACCTACTATTTTTCAAGGTCTACCAAGGAAGGGACGTGGGTGGGGGGGAGGAAGGGAGAGAGAGAGAATCCCTGTTATGATACCAGAAAAAACTATTTAGCCAAAATCACCACAATTCTTCAAAATGTCCTTCAGCATTAAATTTCACTCTAGGTTAGAGATATCTCACGGTATACCCGTTTTGGATAAGAAAAAACTGTATACCTAAGCTCTTAGTCTCAGCTTGGGTACGTTCTCAAAAAATCTCGCTCAATCTCAACCTCTACCGCTCTCAAGACTCTGGTACTGTAAAAAAGGGTGTATATTTCTGTTGCATTGAAACGTCTGTCGATTTCCGTCGCAAAGACGGGTTGTTTTTGAATAGGTTTTTGTTAGGTAAATATATTTAAAAAGTAAAGCGCCAAAAAAAAAAGGCAAAAAAAAGACAAAGAAAAATGCACGTGCGTGAGAAAAATCCTAACAGCTGAACGGCTTCTATCCGAGATTTGCTAGAATATTTATCAAGTTGAAGACAGAATCTTCGAGACCTTCCGTGAGATCAATACAGAAAGCCGCAGCTGAAACACATGACAAGAAAACATGGAAAAGGGGTACTTCAGTCGCTCACGAAATAATCCGCTTACCGACTGTTTTTATACCCTCCTAGTTTATTTACACTGGGATCACAAAGAAGAATAAAATAAACTGTGTTGGTATAAAACACAGCTTTGGAGAATCGTCATCGTGATTATCATAGTCATGTTGAAGGGTATTCGGATTTTACATGAACAATACTGAACCATAAAGCTACAATCCAACCTCCCCTACCCTTTGTCTCTTGACAATGGTCAAAGTGCTAATTTACAACAAATTAAAAATCTCTTTTTGTGAAATTCTAAAATATAAATAATACTGTGTAAAGGTTCTTTCAAAGAGATTGAAATTGAATGGTATTACTGTAAGGTAATTTGCTCCACCGATTCAAACGTCGGAATGACCAATCAGTCTCACAATAACTCGGTCTAAGAGTGATTGGTTCTCTCTTGTTACGAACGCAACAAAATATGAACGAAAGAAATAGCCGCATCACAAAGGGGTCTGCATTATAGAGGCAGGGATTGATTTTCATGCAGTTTTATATATCTGGGACCAACAAAGCCGCTGATGTCAGAGAGATGGCATGTATTGCATGAAATATGATACCTTCAACTTGTCTACAGATCGAGAGTGGTGGAGTCTCAACAGTAATTTCGAATGACTGTGATTGAGGTGCAGTTATGATCTGAATTTATGTCAATTCTTCGGTTCAGTGAAATTTAAAAAAGCTTCTTCTCCCTACCACCATGGTAAAAGTATGGGAAAAAGAAAAAAAGAATTTTTACCATAATATTGAAGATTAGAGAAGCAAGAAAATAGTAATAATAATAATAATAATAATAATAAGAGAAAACCGCAAGTATTCTTATACCTGTTGGATCTCTCTCGAGCACATGTAGGTCCATTTGATAATGGTCCCCAGGCATGGACACTACAGCGGACCCTCGTCTTGCGCCCAGTGAGCGAGTATGCCCCAAACGGGCTTGACTAAACAGAAACAAAGCAATGAAATTTTTAAGCATGTTTTAATGACTTTAAGTTACTGTTAAGGAAATTGCTTGAGATGGAAGTGAGCTGCCTCGGACCGTCCGCCATTTAAAGTTTTGCGATAATTTGCAGGCTTGCAAAAAGTTAGGACCTCAAAAGGTCTGACAATTTTTTCGCTGCTAAATCTCCTGGCTTTCTCGACAAAACTCCACACTTGACTGTACTTTCGCTAAGGGGTTCGTTCCTTGTTGTTATGATTGTTAGCTTACTGTTCACCCCTGATTAATCCGTCGAGTTTATTCCCTTTCCGGAGCAGATCTCCTGTCCACGGCTTATCCTAGCTTGACGACATTTTTATCGCACCATAAATTTTCAAATTTGAACAATTCAGACCATGGGGCAACTTTGTAAATTTTGCACGGTTTGTTTGGTAACTGCTTTTTATCCTTATGGAAAAATAAATCAAATGTAGACCCTCACAAACAGCTAAGGAACTGATGAATGCAAAGGTGGAAGACGACTTACTTTTCTTTCTCTGTTAATACATTTTCTGCATCGGTATGTTCTTCGATCTCCCGAGGGCTCTGAAAAAAAGAAGAAGAACGAAAAAAAACAACAACAACGACAGTTAGGTACGAACCATTAGAAAACTAATCTGCAAGGGGGGGAGACTATATTCGTGCAAGGGAAAATGAAATGAAAAAAATCATGGACGCCTAAAAAATAGTCATGCGCTGGCGTAAAAATCATTCATACAAGGGAAATGTTAGAGCGAAAAATTCATGGAGCTCGAAAATTTTGCACCCTTCCCTTAGCTATAACTTTTCTAATGGTCTGCCCCTTTCCACAGTTGGTTTGAGCCGTATATTTGAGCTGTATTATCTTGACATTCACTCTCATTAAGCGAAAGGATGTTTACTTTTGAAGACAATTACCGGCATTGTTCCTGCTCTGGATCTTTTTCGACGGCTGTTCAAGAATTCTGCGATGTCCGCGGCAAGACTCTCTGCGTTCTCTCGTTCGATATCACCTTCAAATTTCTAGGAACAAATGAGGTTGATTAAAACGTGACGGTTAAAATAAATTTTACTGTTTGGGTGTTAGTGTAAGTTTATGGAGCATAGAAACCAGAGAGTCTAGAGCATCACACATGCACACACTTTATCAAAGAACTTCCAAAAGAAGGCCTTTTTGGCACCAATATAAAAATTACAGTGAAACCTGTATTAAGCAGACACCCTCGGGGAATGCTGTAGTGTCCGCTTAATACATGGTGTCCCCCTAATACAGGTTTAAATAGATAACGTTATATGAGGTGCCAAATGCCATTCAAATGAACAGTGGAAATGTTAAGAATACTCCCAGAGGCTATGACGATAGACGTTTGCTTTAATTTCCGTTATCAAAGTGAGCCAATTGATCATAGCACCATGAACATGGTTGCAACTCAAATTTGAAGAAATCAGATGAGTGAAACAAGCTGTATCCAAACAAAACGAAATAGAAAACAATCCTGTACTGTGAAACTAATCAAAGAAGTTCGTCAAGTCACGTTTTTTAATGTAAAAATCGAAAAATTTGTAGGTGATAATTCGAGGCAATCTTCCGCATTTCTGGTGTCTGGCGTGTTGGGTAGTGGAGTTTAATTTCGAGTGTCCGAATACAGCTTGGCAACAATAGAAATGACCATTTCAAGTATTTTTTAGGTGTCCGCGTCCGCTTAATAAAGGTTTCATTTAAAGTAAATAAGGGAAATAAATTTGGGGACTTCGGCTACTGTCCGCTTAATAGAGGGTGTCCGCTTAATAAAGGTTTCACTGTATAGCAAAACAAATAAAAATAGCATCAATTAGAAGAAAATGATTGTGCTGTGAAGAATTTTGCTGCAGGCAAAATAAATTTTATTAGGTGTAAGGTAGAAATATTTGCATATCGCTGATAAGGGTTTATGTCTTCCTCAA